GTTCTTACAGGTATATGTCTCTCATCAAAAGTCTGAGGTACGTTCCTGAAATTAATTATAAAACAAATTTGTTGGATCTCTAATGTAAGATTGTGAGATATTAAAAGTCCCTTTCAATACAATATATATTACACATACAATGTACTCTACAGGAGTACAACACAATGATGTTAAATAAATTACGGGACCAGGTGGAATGATCATGCCTGACATATGAATACGTATGATGTTATTCTGAATGGAATCGTTTTCAAACGAAATTCTATTATTACCTAGACAAGGAAGCTACAGATTTCAAATAAGTGTTGTTTTCTCAAGGGTTAGTAATTACGTAAATTTTAAATATTTCGTCTTTGAAGTATGTAATACTTTTTCTGAAGTAATCTTTAATTAATCTTCATCTTTTCATCTTTTATTCAACTTCTTACACTTTAATTTACAACTGCATTCGATGAATCAAGATACAAGTATGCGAACTAATTAAGGACAAGACCAAATCATTCCGTACATTTGCATCTACAATTACGCTCATTATTTGCCTCTTGCCCTAAAATATGTTTGAAATCACCAGAAAATTATCTACAAATGAAAAGCAAAATATATGATTTATATCGTACTTGTAGTAGACAGCCACACAGTTATAATGTTTCAACTAAACCTTCGTTATTCTAATTATGCTCTTTGAATCTGATTCCGGCATAGCCTTTATTCCATCAAATATGTTCTTTCTGTGTATAGGGTTATGTTTTTGACTTTGTAATGATTTTGGGACACAGTACCAACCAAATCGGTGATGACACAGAAAACTAGAGAAAGAAAATATAGCACACTGAAATCATTTGGTATGTTTTATTAAAATTGAGAGTGGAAACGGGTAATGCGTCAGGCAAAGAGGACAAAAGAGCAGAAAAAGCACAAGGCCAACAATGGGTCTTCAACACAACTGGTCCCTAAACAATATTGTATTATACTAGTTCAGCGAAAATGGACGTCACACTTGACTCCGGAACATATAAATGAACCAAAATTAAAAAAAAAGCCACACAAGACTACAAGACTAACAAAGGCTAGAGGTTCCTGACTCGAGACAGGCGCAAAAATGCGGCGGGGTTAAAGATGTTTTGTAAGATCTCAACACCCCCCCCCCCCCCCCCCCCCCCCCGCCCTAATACGTCTAGCCAATGTGGAATAAACAAACACACAGCAATACGCACAGTAAAAAGAAGTCCTAGTCTGATGTTAGAATAGGTAACAGAAGAAGCTAAGCAAAATGACAATAATCAACACAAATTAACAAAAGACTACTAGCAGATACTTACATGCCAGCCCCAGACCTCAATTAAACTGATTGAAAGATTATATTTTTATATTTTTTAGGTTTCTGGGGATATTTTGTAGTCAAGTTTTTCCATCCTCACCAATCATTGTTTTTCTTGTTTTGATATCCTTTTATCTAGCTGTCTGGTTTCTGTCCTAATCTTCCATTCAATATGTCCAATTGATTGTTGAAGCAAGAAATCTACTCAACTGAAATGCTTCTTTTCAATGTCAATGATATTGAAGGTGTCATTAATAACATCACATAACAGGAATACATATGACTGTACCTTAGAACTGAGACTACTATAACACGTTTTATTTAGTAATCTCAGCGTAGAAACAGGGCTAAGTGATGGTCATTAATTTCTGTATTCTTTAAACGAAATTATGGCAATCAGTTTCTTTATCTTTAAAAATAACCTTATTCTGTTGATTTCTCTTGAAAATGATTTCATAATAAATTTTCTGTAATTAGATGGTTTCTTTATTCTGTAGATCCTTCATTTCTGTAATCAGTATTGTATAACCTAATTATTTTATTTTCCGCAACTATTATTTATACTTGTGCACCCCATTATTATCTATTTTTTATATTTTTTGCTATTGTTTTCGTTTATTGTCTTTTGCCTTTAACGTTGGTTTCATATTTTGAATTGTTTCACATTTTGTTATGCCTTTTATAGCTTACATTTTGTCATGACTTTTATAGCTTACTATTTTGTATGGGTTTTGCTCATTGTTGAAGGCCGTACTGTAACCTATTGATGTTTACAGCCTCGTCATTTGGTCTTTGCATATCTAAATTCTAGTTTTTTTTGGATATTGTCTCTGGTCTCTGGTGGATATAATATTATAAACGATACCACTTTTACTGCACCAATAATTAATGTCTCTTCAGTGATGATCGAGGCCTAAATATTTGAAAATCCAAAAGGAACAAAATGTTTGCCAAGTAGGGACAACGAATCAGAGCTATGCATTAGGGAGATACATTCAAAAAAAATATTGATAACAGAAAATAAATTTCAACAAGAATGTACAAACTGAAAGGTCTCGCCTGCTTGACTGATTATGATATAATTTATACACCAAGTATAACATAAAATTAATATTATCAATTCCATGTAAATGAGGTAAAGATCAAACGAACTCTGTCAGATGGGCATGTACGCTTTTTAATCATTCCATACACAAAATATAGTTAACCTATTGCTTATAGTATACAAGACACAAACCTTACCTAGAAAACTAAATTTTTAACCAATGAAACATGAGAATGAAGTCAAAGTTAGACGAAATCTGCTAGACAGACATGTATATCTTGCACTCATTCCATACGCCACATATAGTTAACCTATCGCTTATAGTATCTGAGAAATGGACTAAACCATAAAAACATAACCTAACTTTTGAAAATGAGGTCAAGGTCAGACGAATCTGCCCAACTCCCAATCATGTCATACAATAAATAGAGTTGACCTATGGCTAATAGTAAGAAATAGAGCTAACCATGAAACCATTACATTGAATTATGAACAATGAAAATGAGGTCTAGGTCAGATGAACTCTGCTAGACCGACTCGTACAACTTATAATTATTCCATATACCAAATTTAGTTGACATATTGCTTATAGTATCTGAGAAACGAACTTGAACACAAAAAGTTCTTTGACCAATAAACCTTCAAAAAGAGATCAAGGTCAGCTGAAAACTGCCAGAGAGACATGTTCACCTTATAATCATTTCATACCCCTAATATATTTGACCCTCTGCATTTAGTATCTGAGATACAGGCCTTGAACATAGTGAAAACTTACCCTTGATGACTGATCCATAAAAAATGAGGTTGAGTGAACCCTCTCTGACAGACATGTAGACCTTGTAAGAATCCCATATACCAAATATAGTTATCCTATTCTCATAATAAGTGAGAAATTCAACTTCATACAAAATATCATTGATCTATCACAAGTAGTTCCCATTAAACTAACTTCAGCATAAAACTTAACAATTGTTGGCACCGACAACGAAGACGGTGGAAAAGCAACACTTGTCTCGCCTTCTGTGACCTTCATCGCAGGCGAGACAAAACTATTCAGTTTTTTAAAGCAGTAGCTGAATGAGGAAAATGAGGTCATAGATAGTGGACATATGATAGCAGGAAACAGAGTAACCATAACACATCTATATGGAAGGTATAATGCATCCAGGTCTTCTACCTCCTGAAATATAAAGCTTTAAATAAATAGTTTACAACACAGCTGTCACTGCTATCCCTATCTGGCATTCTTTGATTTTTTAGCAGGACAATAAAACAATATCTATATTTTCATGTCAGTACCAAAGTATTGGCTACTAGGCTGGTGACACTCTCTGCGACTTAGATACCACAAATAGAGGTATCCTCCCAGTGGTAGTAATAACATTAACTAAACCAATTTACAGAAACAAATTAATGTCTCTTTAGTGATGCTGGGGCCCACATATTTGAATATCCAAAACCTTATACAAACATTAAAGAGCATATAACACCAAAAATGATGAACAAGTATGCCAAACTCAACAAGAAATCAGAGCTATAGACGAGGGATATATGTGGATAGTTTGTTTCATTGGCAATCATACCACATCTTCTTATTTTCATATTAAAAGGAAATAACTTATGGTTTGATTTATTAATTATTTCTATCAATAAAAAAATTTTAATTTATATTTGACAGCCATTTTGAAATACCTTTGGATACCTTATTTAAACTTTACTGCCAGGTCCTTAAATTACCATAAGGCACCAAGAGGTCAGGTCATATTTGTCAGTATTTACTGATTTCAAATCCTAACGACTGAAATGAAATTTCAATTTTTTGTCAAATTTAATTCTAAAATTTATCAACATTGGATATTTTCAAAGCCTTTTGTTCAGAAATTGCATTTTTTTGTTATATGTAGCTATAAGGTCATTGAAATTATTTTAATTTTTAAAACGCTGCATTCCAAAATTCCCTATGAAACATTTTTATAAAGGTTAGAGATTTCATGTAGTTAAGCTGCAAAATCGTTGATACAAGATCATATTTTTCCAGACCCTGGCCTGGAAGGATTGACACTCTTGATTATCTCTCAATTTCTTTGACAATTACACCTGGTCCGATCAAGTGAAATCAAATGAATATAGTTCAGGAAATGAACTATCATAAAAGCTAGTGAAGTGTCAATTAGAAGATTAGAAAAAAACTTTATTTCCCAGACTACTGACCTACTAACATTCCTATGGAAGTTTTACTGATCATTGAGAATACAGATAGGTTATCTGTTATTGTGCATAAATAGTATGTATAATATCAAAAAGTCAAAGGTAATTGGTTTGGGTTATCACTCCCTAACATTATTTAAACACAAACTTAGGCCTCCATTATCAGGCCCATGCATTATTAAGTTATAAATTCAATGAAAGTATTATTATTCAGGAATTCGTTGATTCTGTTCTTTTTAACACAAAATGCTGAAAAATACAAATTAATATACATGAATACCATTGCATTCCCTGTATTAGGAAAAATCTATCAAACGTGAATATGAAGATGTACAAGATCTGTAAGAGTAGAGAAATGGCAAGGGGGAAGTAATAAAGAATACTTCCAATTCAAACTTATGAGGAAGACATGACAACACAACAACTGCAAACTTGATTATTCATTTATTATTGAAAATATAAAAATTAACATTAATAACAATAACAATTTTTCAGTTTTGTCTGAACAAATTTCATACTTGACTAAAAATTAACAAAACACCATCATAATGTAGAAAAATTATATTACTAAAGTCACGATTAAATGTAAAATCAAAGATAATACCAAACTAACCCAAGACTAAACAAAAACGTGTTCTGAAAACCTTTTTACACTGAACTTTCATATAATATGAGGGATAACCTAAGAAAATTTTCAAGAGTGGAGCTAATGAAATTACTATTATAACTTGAAAATATCTATAAATTATAAACTTTTTCAATTCTCTTAAATACACACACATATAATATATATACATGTACATGTATCATATTTTCTGCAAAAATGCTGAATATCATCACCTTACCATTAGTGGTCCACCCTCAACTGACCTAATTACAAACTTTAACAAATTGATAACAGCACAGCTGCCACAGAAAACAGCCTCTGAGACTTGTTTGAGGCGAGAAAAAACAAAAATTGAACCAAAGCTGTTATCATTAAAATAATTTCTGTAAAATTCCTGAACACCAATAACTTTAAGACAACCTATCATTTCAACCAATTTTTTTCCAAAAGCATATATAAATCCTCTAAAAAGAAAAAAAGAAGATATTTGGTAAATCAAATAAGCTTCCAATCTATAAAGTAAATTTTACTTTATAAAAATAATGCGGTATGATTGCCTAGGAGACAACTTTCCACCAAAGTTCAAATGAAGTGGATGTTAGCATTAATAGGCAACGGTATGGCCTTCAACAATGAGAAAAACTCATATAAAATGCTTTAATATTGTTTTACTAGTTTGTTTTTGAATATTACACAACCAAATATATATATAAGAACACTCTAAATAAAATACAAATTTGTACCTGAAATTGATTATAAGACTCGCATATTAATCCACTAAAATCTTGACTTAAAAGATGTTCATCAAAAAGTGTAAATTTCTAAGCTACTAAAAATAAAATGTTTTGACCAACATATGAGGATTAACATGAATCATTTTGAGCAAAAGCAAAAGACTAAGTTAGTTATTGTCAGTGGCAAATTTCTTAAATTCTTGAATTCCAAATAAAATTTATGGCACAAAATTAAAAAAAAAAAGTAAAAAAAAAAAAAAAAACTGGTTGCATGAATAATTCATATCCCTTTGTGTACATTCACCTTAAATGCTGCCTTTTTGTTTTAACACATTTGTACTTGTTCAACAATTACAATAACAAACTCCTTCAAAACCAGGATAAGAGATTTATTTAATCTGTTCAATCCTAAATCAGATGATTGGCTTTATTAGAAATACTTTTCGATGCATAAAGCAACTAAAATACTTTCTTGAAAACATGGAATTGTTTTAATAATTGTGGATAAATCTTTCCTAGACAAGAAAATTAATATTATATGGAATGTTTTCATCTACTCAACTCTGTGCTAGCATATATATATATAAATTTTCAAAGTAATAAATACTGATCTTTTATAAAATAAAGAAAATATAAATAGATGAAATATTACATCTTTTTGATTAGATTAATTTGTAAAAAATAATATATACTTTACAGATATCTTAAATCATCATAAATAATCATTTTTAATATATAAATTACCAAAATATTTTTAGATTACCAAAAATAGATATGTTTGATTGTAAACAGATTTTTTTACTGCATAGATATAGTTAGTTAAAACCCTAGACCAATTATTAAACATCGCAATACTGAGGTTTTCCTGGGTGTTCCCATTGGAATTTCCATAATCCATGGAATTCATGTTCTGTTACATAAACAGTACTTGTTCCTGGTTGGAAGTGAACATTACTTGGCTTAGAGAAAGGACATTTGATTCTTGTATGAGGGCTTCCTCCATCTGGACCAAATACTTCTAGATGACTTGAGCCCCAATGGGCTACAATTAAGTTACCTGCTTCGTCAAAGTCCATGCCATCAGGGCCACCTTCTAAATCTCCTTAAAAAAAAAAAAAACAATTATAGTATATTTTTAATTTGAATTAAATTACATATTTCTTAACATATGATAAAAATTTTTTTTATCATTGCCATTATCAATATCAAAACTTATCATTTTTATGGCCCCTCAACAAAGTTGTTGGGGCCATATAGTTTTACCCTTGTCCGTCATTCTGTCATTCCATCATTCCGTCATTCTGTAATTCCGTCATTCTGCAAAAACCATTATACAGACTTTTTTTCTAAACGCCTTCAGATATCGTGCTGATTTTTGGTATGTGAGTTAACCATGATGAGTTACAGATCAAGTTTAAGTTTCATTCCACTCTGCTAATTTTTGCTGAAATTACGGGCTTTGGACTTTGATAAATTGTTGAAAATCACAGTTATATGGACTTTTTTTTCTAAACGCCTTCAGATATTGGGCTGATTTTTGGTATGTGAGTTAACCATGATGAGTTACATATCAAGTTTAAGTTTCATTCTGCTCTGCTAATTTTTTGCCAAATTACAGGCTTTGGACTTTGATAAATTGTTGAAAATCACAGTTATACAATACAGACTTTTTTTCTAAACGCCTTTAGATATTGGGCTGATTTTTGGTATGTGAGTTAACCATGATGAGTTACAGTTCAAGTTTAAGTTTCGTTCCGCTCTGCTAATTTTTCTGAAATTACGGGATTTGGACTTTGATAAATGGTTGAAAATCACAGTTATACAGACTTTTTTTCTATACGCCTTCAGATTTAACGCTGATTTTTGATATGTGAGTCTACAATGATGAGTTACAGATCAAGTTTATGTTTCGTTCCGATATGCTGATTTTCATGTCGTTTCAACACATCTTCAGTACATCCACTTCCTGTTTGCTGATAGTTTGAAATTTAACTACTCATTGATCAAGGAAATTTTTCATCAAACTAGTATTGGTCTTGAGAGCTGGATACTATCCATGCATGTTTGTGTCCACATGTGTTGTTAAAATTGCAGATTTTTCAACTTTTTGAAACAGGGCCTCTCGTGTTGTTCCGACACATCTAGTTCTAAATCAATTAACTAGATAAATAAATAAATCTGAGGAATGAAAAGAGCTATAACACGAACAAAGTAAATATGCTTTTGACTTATCATTACATATACATGTATATCATTTTTTCACTTAGATATCCTGGCAGTCTTACCTGCAATAAAGACTGCCATAATAATTAAATGACATAACGAATCATAGTAAATTGGAACTGAATGACTGCCATACAAAAGGGGAGGTTTGGAAACTACTTAAGCATTTACATAGAACACATACCAAGTGAAGAATATGGTAATAGATCAATAATTTATGAAATAAATGTGGATAGTGTCCACATGTGGACACAGATGATGCCCCCGCTTGCATATCATATAGTTATAAAGGGACATAACTCAAGAACGGTAAAAGTGACGCTACCCAAATTTGAACTTGATCTGAGTTTTGTGGTAATAAGCATTGTGTGCAAGTCTCATAACATTTGGTTGAGGCTAACTTAAGTAGAGAACAGAAACTAAAAATTCAGCAATTTTTCTATTTGTAAACACGCATAACTCTAGAACGGTTGTGTATAAGTTTTATAACATTTGGTTGAGACAAACTAAAGTTCGAGAACGGAAACGAAAAATTCAGCAATTTTTGTGTTTATAAAGGGACATAACTCAAGAATGGTAAAAGTGTCGCCACCAAATTTCGTACTCAATCTGTATTATGTAGTAATAAGCATTGTGTATAAGTTTCATAACATTTGGTTGAGGCAAACTAAAGTAAGAAAAAGGAAACAAAAAATTTGTACTTGATCTTAGTTTTGTGGTAATGAATATTGTGTATAGGTTTCATAATGTTTGGTTGGGGCAAACTTAAGTAACAGAATAGAAACTAAAAATTTTGCAATCTTTCGATTTATAAAGGTGCATAACTCAATAATGGTTAAAGTGACACTACCTAAATTCAACTTGATCTGTGTTTTATCAGTGGAAGTCAAAATTAAACATTGCATTGTTTAATGCATTGATTGTAGTTGCTTCAACTATAATCATTGACAAAGGAAGATAACTCCAATTTAAAAATTACTTAATATTTAGAAGAAAATAAAAATTTTGCAATTTTTCCATTTATAAAGGGGCATAACTCTAGAACGGTTAAAGTGACGCCACCAAAATTCAAACTTGATCTGTGTTTTGTGGTAAAAGGCACTGTGTATAAGTTTCATAACATTTGGTTAAGGCAAACTAAAATTAGAGAACGGAAACGATAAATTCTGCAATTTTTCTATTTGTAAAGGGGCATAACTCTAGAACGGTACAAATGATGCCACCAAAATTCAAACTTGATCTGTGTTTCGTGGTAATAAGCATTGTGTATAAGTTTCATAACATTTGGTTGTGGCAAACTTAAGTTAGAGAACGGAAACAAAAAATTCAGCAATTTTTCCATTTGTAAAGGGGCATAACTCTAGAATGGTATAAGTGATGCCACCAAAATTCAAACTTGATCTGTGTTTCGTGGTAATAAGCATTGTGTATAAGTTTCATAACATTTGGTTGTGGCAAACTTAAGTTAGAGAACGGAAACAAAAAATTCAGCAATTTTTCCATTTGTAAAGGGGCATAACTCTAGAACGGTATAAGTGACGCCACCAAAATTCAAACTTGATCTGTGTTTTGTGGTAATAAGCATTGTGTAAAAGTTTCATAACATTTGGTTGAGGCAAACTAAAGTTAGAGAACGGAAACGATAAATTCAGCAATTTTTCCATTTGTAAAGGAGCATAACTCTAGAACGGTAAAAGTGACGCCACCAAAATTCAAACTTGATCTGTGTTTTGTGGTAATAAACATTGTGTATAAGTTTCATAACATTTGGTTGAGGCAAACTAAAAGTAGAGAATGGAAACCAATTTTGGGACGTATGTACGTACGTTCGTACGTACGGACAGACGGACAAGGGTAAAACTTAATGCCCCCTCCGCTACTGCGGGGGCATAAAAATTTTACCTTGAATAGTTATACGTGTTTATTATCAATTATGGTCTCTTTTTTATGTCCTTGAAAAAAATCACCACGGTCTTATGTTAGCAACCGTTTCCTCAAGCAATTTGTCAGCAGATTTTTTAAATAGTTTCTTAATCTAATCTGATATGCAATATAAAAATTATGAAAAACATCACTTGAAGTGAGTTTAAATCTTATTGTTTGACTACCTGGTAACTTTCCCCACAATGTCTTCTGTCCTACTTTGCCAGAACCTAGGATATCATATGCCCACAGTGATTTGGTAAATGTCTCAGCTACTATCACCTTCCATGGTTTACCATCTTGTTTATGTTGTACAGCTATACCATTAGAGAACTTGTACCCTGTATCGACCTTTATCACTTCTTTCTTGTTAGTCACACAATAGACTGATCCAAAAGGCTCCTATAGTCATACAATAATAAAAATACATTTTACAATTTGTGACCTATAATACTACTGATCTATACAGGTTATACCACTGCAACAAGTGTCATACAATATTTCTTTTCTCAAAACAGTTAAATTTTCAATTTTAAAACTCAAAGATTGCTGAGCATAACTGTCAAAATAAGAGAATAATCATATCTCCCAAGAATCAGTGGTAGAATCCGTTTCTCTAATGATATTTAAATGATATGCAGACAACTTTTATCTTTCTTTTTTTATTATCTGCAAAAAAGATTATTTTCTTTCTATGTATAACAATTATATATACATTTTATGCCTGTACCAAATCAGACTCTATGGAACATGTGCTGTTCATTGTTTTTCTTGGGGTAATCGGTTGGTGATTGTTGGTGTGGTTTGTTGTATTGTGTAATATTCTAGATATTTTTGTTCTCCTTTTTATGTATTATTAATATAGTTTTTCTTTAGTAAATAAACCTTGCTGCCAAAGAATTAAGTCATTAATTATTTTTCTCATGTGACACATTTCTCTGTCCAGCTTATATTTTTAAAATAAGCTTCAGACCTGTTGTTTTTATTTTAATCTGACTGTCTGTAAACAGTTGGAGTGTTAAATTCACCATTCCTGACATTGTAAGAGGTAGACATTACTTGCATAGTTGAAAATGTTACTATGGATTGGAGCAAATAAAAAAGTTAGTAGCTGAAGTTGTATAATAGCAGTAACTGGTAACAAGACAATAATTCTCATTCTATTTATAGATTAGTCAAATACAGTTAGATGCTTTTTAGCAAATAAGTTGTTTATGTGCATTTCTTTAATTAATTTTTTATTAATATATCTGATCAGGTCTCTAGGGCCATTTAGCACCATATTTTACCATGGTGCTCTGTGCATGGATTTTATGATAGAATGTACTTTAATGTGGTGATATATTTTTGGGAGAAAAGCGCTATTTCATATCCAATGGCTTTATTTGAAGAAAAAAATGTTTAGTTATTGTCTTTGGACAGATAACATATACAGTGTTCTCCCCAGGGCCTTAAAGGACCGCGGGCCCGCGATGTATAATTTTTTACCGTGGTGGTATCATTCTAACCGCGATGTATTATATTTCTTCGTGGTGCTAAAATTTTTAGTTAAAAAATCGAAAAAATCGGTAAAGGTTTTAAACGACTTGTGTTAAAAATCTTTTCCGTGCGGTATAAAATTCCAGGTGAAATTTGACCAGTTTAAACCAGTTCAGATTGTTTACACCACATGATCGATTTACCTTTATGAGGTTAACCTTTGTTGATTGGATTTAATCGATGTATTTAACACTTGTAAAATGATTCTTTTGTGTTTTAATTAAGAGATCATAACTTTATCATCGTAGATAACTATTTTATGGCTTCATTCACCACCTGACAAGTCGGCAAATACTCTGTACACAAACCGTGTTGACCCAATAGTTGTACACACGACGGTACATATTTTGTACATTATAAAGTTGGCTCATTACGTATAATTGACCATTATACACTTCTCAATACTTATATAATAGTATTATATGTCTCTGATTAAACCATGGCCAAATTATCTTTAATTTTGACATTGTTTATATTGCATGATATTCCGGTTTCAAACTATCATAGTATCTGTCAACAAGTAATTCAAAGGGGACGGTTCACATGACCCAGTTAGTTCACATAGAATACCCATAGGCGGATCCAGGGGGGCCCGGGCCCCCCTTTTGTGGGAAAAATTTGGTTGATTATATAGGGAATCACTGAAGCATGACTGGAGCGGGCCCCCCTTATGAAAAGTTCTGCATCCGCCACTGATACCCAAGATTATTTACAATTAACTGCAATTTATTCTATTTTATAAATAAAATGCATGACTGTACCTTCAAACTGAATATTTAGATCCATATGATAATTAATGAATAACAGAAGTGATTTGCAAATTTTATCCATAAGCACATGTTAAATCTACTTTTATCTACTTCCTGTCATTTAGGCGGGAAAATAGGGAGACTTAGTTGTTGACATTGAATAGGGTTACTTATAGATCTATAGATCTAGGATAAATTTATACATTTAGGAATTCTATTTAAATGGATCATGACAAAAAAAGATTTAGATTTCAGTGCAGTATTAAGTCTGTATCTATGTTTGATTATCTGACACTAAAGACAAGAAAAGTTAATATTTACATGAAATCTAAGGCAAAATGTTTGAAATTTATGAAAAATTTCTTTTTATTAAAATTTAAGATAGAAACTTGTTCAAATAATAATACAATATTTATTCTTGTTAATTTTATATCTCCTTATGACAGGAATCCTTTCACAATACAACAGCTTTTATTCTAGAAATAAGAAAGTTTTTTAAATTGAACATTTTTGTTCTCTTTTGAATGATATTTTATTCTTATTGATCATTGATATATAAACAATTTAATAACTTTAAATTTAGATGAATATTTTGTAATGTATCATGTTTAATATATTTTTAAAAAATATTAAAGTATACATGTCAAACTGTTTATTGATTTACTTCTTTTTTACCAATAATTTTCAATGTCTACATAACACAGTACCACAGCATTAAAACAAAACAGGAGACATAAAAACTACAGTTACTAGAAATATAGCTTAGCGACGTGACATGACACAACTGATTGTATGAATCATTTCACCAAGCAATCCACACGCGTTACCCTGGTGCTATCCAAAAATCCTGGGGAGAACACTGCTATATGTGACACGCTGGGGACATTAGAACTACTGGTAATAAATCAAAAATTCATGTGTGATTGTAAGGGTGATACTTGAAATAATGTGGTACTTACAAATGACGATAATTTGTATTAATTTTTTTTTAAAGTAGATATTGTACTTAATGTAATGCATTCTAATGCATTCAAACTGTAAATCTTGTTATTTGAAAACCACAGAGCAAAATAATCTTACCTCAGTTGAACTTCTAAAAGGGTGTGGAGATATCTCCCCTGCTGGTGCTGTTACCCATAAATTACCATCGTAATCAAAACTACAGTCATTACAACCCTGCATAACGTTACCATCTTTGTCTACTTTACAAAACTGAAAGACAGAAAATATCAGCTCTTTCATTTGTTCATGTCTTGAAATACTATTTGTTTTTAAGAAAATACTAGGGCAAAAATAGTTTACATTCTATTTTTTACAATGTTCAATTTAGGTTCAATATTACAAGGGGAATCTGCATTGTATAATCATCACATACTTGATTAAAACCAAGTTTGACTATGTACCTGTTTAAACTGGCCAGACTGGTCCATGGTTAGAATTCCCAACCTCATGTCAGCAATCCATATAATATTATCTTTATCACACTGACAACCAGCTGGTACTCCCCCATTACTATCAATTACTGGTTCACAGATAACTGTTGCCTAAAAAAATAATTTGATTCAAATGAATATTGGGCCAATACTGACTAACTTATTCAAAAGAAAGGTTAAAACCTTGAATTTATGATCAATGAATAGTTTTATATTGATATCATATGCAAATAATTAGACATTCCAAAGGTTGCCAAACATTGGGCAAAGGCCAGTTAAAGATAGTTTGATATGCATTACTGGACCAAATGACTAGTAAAATTTTTAATTTTGTCCAAACAATGTGTGTAAATGTCCTGTAAAAAAGAGTCTGGTCCAGTTACATGTAAAAAGAATGGTTAAAAAATTTTCACTTCCGTACTCCTACTATTAATAACAAATTTATTTTGTAAAAAATGTTTCTGTACTAACAACAAAATTATTATATTTAAAATTACCTGTGTACGTTACTTTATTTAACGCCATTTTGTCCTAGGTTAAAGTTTGTCTTTTTGACATTGAAACATCTTTTTTATTTATATTGTGTCATAGATCAAACTTATTCGTTCAGTGTATATTTACTTGTTTTTGTGTATTGTCTATTTGATTGAGTTAAACCATTTCAATTGATATTTTATTGTGTGTCTTTTTATGTTGTAATGTTATACCACTGTTCCAGGTTAGAGTGAAGGTTGGCACCTGTTAAAACGTTTAAACCCGCTGCATTTTTATGCACCTGTTCTAAGTCAGGAGCCTGTTGTTCAGTGGTTGTCGTTTTTTGGTGTGGTTCATAAGTGTTTCTCGTTTCCCATTTTTTATATAGATTAGACCGTTGGTTTTCCTGTTTGAATTGTTTTACACTAGGGCCCTTTATAGCTTGCTGTTTGGTGTGATTTCTAAAAGTCTTGGGAACCACTGGAATAATCCTGGAAGTGGACCAGAACAGAACCAGATTATCAACATTTGCTCAAATTATCAGTTGTATACTTAGTAATTACCAAGACCATTGAAGATGATGATAAACTTACACCATGTTCTATTTCTAGTTATTGATTTCATAATTGTTAATGGAAGGTTACATTGAATATGATCAGTCAGGGGACCTATTGAAATAAGTGATTTTTAAATCACTTTTTTAAGTAGCAAATTCGAAGTTTTGTCACAAATTGTGATTTTGTAGTTTTACCAAAATTTTAAACCACATAGGTTTAGATAATATCTTATCATTAATAAAATTGAAAAAAAATGAACTTTTTGCTTCTTTTAAATAGCAAGGTTTATGCCTTTGATGAAATCATTTAGCTGCAAATTCTATTTTAGTTGAAAAAATGCTATAATAATGGCTTTACATAATGAACTGATACTTTCTTAACAGATTTTTCCCAGCAGTGGGAGTATTTTTCCTGTAAAATTCAAGGTTTCATCTTACAGATTATGTAATAAAATTCTACTGTTCGCGATCAAAATTTCACTGTTCGGGGGTGTTGAAATTAGTGGGGGGTTATTAAAATAATGATACTTAAAGTAGTGATTTTTTGGAAGGAAATTGAGGTATGATACTTAAACAAGTGATTTTTTTGTCATTATCCTAGATTCAGTACAAGGTCATCACCTGACATGACCCGGTCCTCCTATCAACACAGATGTTGGTTCTGATAATTTTAGCAACATTAGTCCCTGGATCATTAGTATTCTATATTTAAAGCTACAATAAAATTAAATCACTTAGTCTAGTGATTAATTTGTACTACTTAAATAAGTGATTATTAAAGAAAGACAACTCTTACTTCCAACCTTTATGGACATAATGTTACTTGAATCAGTGATTTAGAAAATCACTCATTTAAGTATGTCCCCTGACTGATGATACAAGCTTCAAAACCTTAGCTGAGATTCTTGTGATGTTTTCACAACTTCTAAACCTCAGGGTGTCAATACTGTTTTTGGGTTGACTTTAAGGTATATCTTAATTCAGTGAGATTTAATTCTTTTTTCATAATTGGGGGTAGGGGGGTTGGCACACCTTAATTCATTGGGATTAAACTACTTTTCAAAAATGGTTGAGTTGGTAGGCCTAAAATCATCGGGATTAGTCTACATTTCATAAGTGGGACGATTTAGTAGGCCCATATTAAACGTGATGAAACTTTTTTCCATGAGTTGGGTGAGTTGGTAGAAAGTTTGGCAATGGGGTGAGTTTTCATGGATTCGACTTAACCAAAGGACCCACATTATACATAAATTTATCTATTGATGATGATGATGGATGGCTGCTTAATGTCCAGTGGCAAATTAATATGCGTTCAAGACGAGAACATGTTAATGTAATATGAATATATTTTAAACCACTTTGTACTAGACAGACATGCTGAGCCGCATTGTTAGCTTTCTAGTTCAAAAGGTAACATTCCGCAGTAAAACATGTCACCTTACCCGGACACATTATTCTGACTCTGAGCCGACCAGTCTTTGCTTTACTCCTTAATGTCATGTGCTTAGCTGAGAAGAAGCAAATACCAATTTAAAGTCTTTGGTTTGACACCGGGCAGGGTTTAAACCCATGACCTCCAGCACTCATGGCACGCTACCACAACACCACTGAGGTGGTTTTATCTATTGGTCCCAGATTATGAACTTATGTGATCTGTTGAATAACACTGGATGTGCAAATATAAAAGTGTGGAAATTTAGCATTTTGGGTTTCTTTGAAGGGGGTCGGTCTTTTCACCACCGAACACCCAAAAAGACCACTAACCCTTAAGAAAAACAGTAATGTTACACAATAAAACAATATAATCGATTAAATTACGTAAAATGTAATCCTATTGTCATGTTTTTCACATTTTTATCTGCATTAGTGATGTTAAAGTTGAGAATCAAAATTAAAAAAAAAAACGCTTCTGGTTCCAGCAATATTTTTCCGGATTTACATTGTCTGTATTTCATTGTATATTATGTTATGGTCTTTACTTTTCAATTATTAGAAATAAATTGTTCAAATAAGTTAAAATATTTTATTTAATGTGAAATTATCACAATAATTATATTTAAAAAAATGATAGACTTGAAAGTGTACTGTTCTGACAACAGCCCTTTAAGACTGTTCTTTTTGGTTCTCTTGTTATCATTTCTCATTAACTTGGGTATGTATATGTATAAACATATTCATCCTCGTTCAGAAGGTATGTCAAATATATAAGATCATATAAATAAAGATGAAAACAATATATTTAGGTGTGTTAGATGGTATTTTAATGTGTTCGGTGGTGTTCGGCGGTGTGCGATGGTGTTCGGTGGTGAAAAGACCTACCATCTTCGAAGGTATGTCAGGTTGATTTTTTAGGAAGCAGGACAAATCGCCCCACTGGCAAATCGCCCCACACCTAATCACCCCACTTTTTCACCAACTCACCCCACTTTTAAAAAAATAGCCCCAAACTGGTTTACCAACTCGCCCCACTTTTTAAAAAATCGCCCCAGTTGTGAAAAGGGCTAAATCCTGTTAATATTAATCCTGCCAACTCGCCCCACTTAATGAAAAACGGTAATATCTAGATGAATATATAATTTTCATGTTTGCCAACTCGCCCCACTTAATGAAAACTAATCAATACAGAATACCAGTGCAAGCAAGCCCGCACTAACCAAGCCATCCTATTCAACATGTGGGAGCAGTGTATAAAGTTACAGGCAGCATATCTACAACCAGACTCTTACGCCTTTGTGGTCGTGTCAACGGTCCAGTCGTGGAAGCAGATAGCTACTGAACTTTCTAATGACAATGTATTCATGTATTCATGTTCTTGTTTCTAGTGCTGACATTTCATCTAGTACTTCTTTTTATGTTATCATGCCAGTGCTTGTCATAATTGATTTAATGTATGTTTGTTTAAAATGTTATTGTTATGCATACTTACGTAGATGTGCAAACCTATCATCTGAGAATAAAATTATGTAAACACACATGATTCTTGACTTATCTTATAAAACATTGAATATATTCACCAGGAAAAAAACGTTACATAAATGCTGATGCTACTTTCTTTCTGTTTTATTTCAACCAAAAAAAAAGATGCATTTCTAACGTTTTCATAAGTGGGGCAAATTGGAAGGCCTACCACTCATTTGTTGGCATGACTCAATATTAGGATTTTCCTATTTTTCATAAGTGGGGCGAGTTGGCATAACTCAATTCATCAGGATTTTTCTATTTTTCACAAGTGGGGCGAGTTGACATTCACGTCACCGAAATACTGATACTCACTTCTTACTGCTTTATTTAAACAAAAGAAAAGAATTACAAAAGATGTTTATCTAAGGTTTTCATAGGTATTGATTTTATTTATAAGTGGCAGGAACATATACAACGGGATAGCATCTTTTTCCATAAGTGGGGCGAGTTGGCATTACTAAATTCATCGTGGTTTATCTATTTGTCATGAGTGGGTCGAGTTGGCAGACATTATTTCAGCGGGATTTTAACCCTTTTCATAAGTGGGGCAAGTTATCCAACCTATTTTTAATGGGATTTTACCCTTTTCATAAGTGGGGCGAGTTGGTAAACAAGAGTGGGGCGATTTTTCCATAAGTGGAGCGAGTTGGCATTACTAAATTCATCGTGGTTTATCTATTTGTCATGAGTGGGGCGAGTTGGCAGACCTTATTTCAGCGGGATTTTAACCCTTTTCATAAGTGGGGCAAGTTATCCAACCTATTTTCAATGGGATTTTACCCTTTTCATAAGTGGGGCGAGTTGGTAAACAAGAGTGGGGCGATTTTTTAGGAATTGGGGCGTGTTGGTGAAAAAGTGGGGCGATTAGGTGTGGGGCGATTTGCCAGTGGGGCGATTTGTCATGGATTCGATTTTTTACATGTATCTTTACATACTTTACAAGTTGATAAATCAATCTTTAGGATCTGGCCTGCAAACGCACCATCTTTTTCAACCTCAGGAGCAACCATGTAAAAGTTTCCATTCTTATCAAACACTGGACCTTCCGACCCTAATAATTTGTCTACAATCTTCGTAAATTCGGGTTGCGAAATTTTAGGGGCACCTGTGACTGTGTCTGCCATGGTCAATGTAGCATTGGTTGTCGTAAATTAGACTAAATGCAAACAAAGTAGTTTTGATTTACTTTCATCAATAAAATTTGCCCAAATTGGTATAAGAATTTGAAGAAAAAAAGTCTATGATGAAATTTAGTGGCAATTTTATCTTGCTACTGAATAATTTTACGACTAGTCGTAAAAATAGGAAGTAAAAAATATGGCGGCCGTTGGGGCTCGCCAGGGCATACGGTCACACAAAACTGGGCGTTTTAAATGTATGTAAATCTTTCATGAAATCCTATTTACATTACATATCTTAATCATACACTTAAATTTGTAACTGCGTCTTTTTTTTCTAATTTCAGCTCGAAATGACAGTGGCGATGAAGTTTTTCGATTGGACTTTACCAAAGGTTTGTTATTTATGAAATGTCAACTTTTAAGCTACAAAAAACAACTTGGTATAAGGAAACCAATATTTTCACAGCTGAAAAACATTGCTCAACAACTGTCATTTTATAAAATTTGATTTACTGTGTATTTTAATTGTGCAGATCTGCCTGTCAGAGTTGGGTACAGACAGGACATTGCAGGCCCATCACAGTATACATGATCTACCAATTGGTGTTGTTACCCGGATAAAATTGACGTTACAGAGCTAATATCTTTACGTCACAATGTCCTATGACGAGTTCCCCCAAATGACCTCAGGTCAACCTAGGCAGTTCATTCATCGACATCATGCATATATATGTTCATTAATCAAAATTGGAATCTTGTTACGTATTGTTATCATGGACTTCATCAGCTGCTGAGCCTTAGCTCTTATGGTCTTATAGGCCCTTCACGGTTAGTGCAGACATGTTGAATATGGGGCAGATTTTCATATTGGAGGTAAAATTGGTTTGAAAATACGGGAAAACATCATTAAAAAAGAACAGTTGCTTGGAAACATGCATAGGATTTCCCTTACTATCAAACTATTTCCACCTATCCAAAATTTTTTACCCTATTCAATTTGGCCGAACTAACCATGAAGTGGCCTATTGCCAATACGCCAGTTCTGAGATATGATAGTTAGTTGAATCTGTCATGTCACTTTCAACACATGTCGAGTGAACGGGTGAAAAAGTTTGATCTTGTACTGCACAAATTATTTGGGAAATTAAAATCTAATAAGTTTGTCACCCTCCCTTTAGTTTTACGGGAATTAAGATTACGTACATAAATTATTTCTAGACTACCCTGCAGAATGACGATTCTGAAAGTGCTTGAAACTTTGATAGACCAGGGATACAGGCGCACCTTCTTTCTGGTAAATGACGCCATAAAGGCGTGCGAAATTGACGATCTTTTCCAGTGAAAGACATGATTCCAGAAATAGCCTATAGATACATTATTTTTGTACCTTGAATGATTGGTCCTGTCAGTGTCATCAAACTAACCCTGTCTATACTACAATCCCCTAGTTTTATTAGGCAGTTAAGCTGCCTTATGCGAGCACCCTAGATTTGTGTTCTACCCAATAAATGCTGAAATACGTGCCATTGTTATTATCTAGCTGGCTATTATGTTATTTATAACTAATTGGACATTTTTCCAATACTTTTATTTCTGGAATACAAAAAATATGACCAGAAAAACCTTAAATGATCGTCGAACTACCCAAAACTTTTGAAGTTGCACATAGGAAGTAGTGCTCAATAGAAATCCGTACGTAGTTTATTATCCCCTGTGCTTTTGGCTACGATGTCAAAGAACAATTGTATGAAATATTTCATCGTCGAAAATCGGTAATTACAAGTCATTTATATTTCCCAAATGGCAAAATGCGCAGGAATATTGTTCATGTAGAACAAATCTCTATGATAGAGGAAATAAAGTTATATAAGTGGGCGGTAATTATACGACCGCAAAAATTGAAAATTTTTTGGTCGTATATTGGTATGACGTTGGCGTCGTCGTCGTCGTCGTCGTCGTCGTCGTCGTCGTCGTCGTCGTCGTCGTCGTCGTCTGGCGTCGTCCGGCGTCGTCCGAAGACACATTGGTTTTCGCACTCTAACTTTAGTTTAAGTGAATGGATCTCCATGAAATTTTACCATAAGGTTCAATACCACAAAAGGAAGGTTGGGATTGATTTTGGGGGTTATGGTACCAACAGTTAAGGAATTAGGGGCCAAAAAGGGGCCAAAAATAAGCATTTTGTAACTTCCAGACAATAACTTGTGTGTAAGTGTATGGATCTCTCTGACATTGTACCACAAGGTTCCATATCACAAAGGGAAGGCTGTTATTGATTTTGGGGGTAATTGCCTCAAAATTTTAGGAATTAGGGGCCAAAAAAGGGGCAAAAAACAAGCATTTTTCTAGTTTCATGACAATAACTTGTGTGTAAGTGTTTGAATATTTCTGAAATTGTACTACAAGGTTCCATATCACAAAGGGAAAGCTGGAATTGAGTTTGGGGGTAATTGCCCGAAACGTTTAGGAATTGGGGGCCAAAAAGGGGCCAAAAATAAGCATTTTTCTAGTTTCCAGACAATAACTTGTGTTCAAGTGTATGGATCTCTCTGAAATTGTACTGCAAGGTACCATACCACAAAGGGAAGGCTGGGATTGAGTTTGGGGGTGATGAATCATAAGGGGGTTCAAAAAATTTGGGGGGGATTTTTTTTTTTTCTTTTTTTTTCTTTTTTTCCTTTTTTTTTTCTTTTAAAATTTTCCATTTTAAGTTGGTTATTTCTGATTAATATTTAAAAGCAAATAATAATGATATGGTAGGGGATACACACCAAACAGGATGTGTAAATTATTATATAATAAGTATTGTGCAATAGCAAGAAATTTTCAATTGCACAGTATTGCACAATTGCAAGAAATCTTCAATTGCACAGTATTGCGCAATAGCAAGAAATCTTCAATTGCACAGTATTGCGCAATAGCAAGAAATATCCAATAGCACAATATTGCGCAATAGCAAGAAATTGTCAATTGTACAGTATTGCACAATAGCAAGAAATATTCAATTGCACAGTATTGTGCAAAAGAAGATACTTCGTATAAATTGCTTATTTCTTGATCAATTTCAATGGGGTTTTATTCTTGAATTCTTGGGGTTCTTTAATATTCTGAATCTAACCGTGTAATAAGTTTTTGGATTTTGGGCCCCGTTTGTAAATTGGTCCACATTGAGGTCCAAAGGGTCCAAAATTTAACTTTGTTTGATTTCATCAAAAATTGAATAATTGGGGTTCTTTGATATGCCAAATCTAACTGTGTATTTAGATTCTTAATTTTTGGTTCCGTTTTCAAATTGGTCTACATTAAGGTCAAAAGGGTCCAAAATTAAACTTAGTTTGATTTTAACAAAAATTGAATTTTTAGGGTTCTTTGATATGCTGAATCTAAACATGTATTTAGATTTTTGATTATGGGCCCAGTTTTCAAGTTGGTCCAAATCGGGGTCCAAAATTAAACTTTGTTTGATTTCAACAAAAATTGAATATATGGGGTTCTTTGATATGCTGAATCTAACCATGTATTTAGATTTTTATACGACCGCAAAAATTAAAAATTTTTTGGTCGTATATTGGTATGACGTTGGCGTCGTCGTCGTCGTCGTCGTCGTCGTCCGAAGACACATTGGTTTTCGCACTCTAACTTTAGTTTAAGTGAATGGATCTCCATGAAATTTCACCATAAGGTTCAATACTACAAAAGGAAGGTTGGGATTGATTTTGGGGGTTATGGTACCAACAGTTAAGGAATTAGGGGCCAAAAAGGGGCCAAAAATAAGCATTTTTGTAACTTTCAGACAATAACTTGTGTGTAAGTGTATGGATCTCTCTGACATTGTACCACAAGGTTCCATATCACAAAGGGAAGGCTGTAATTGATTTTGGGGGTAATTGCCTCAAAATTTTAGGAATTAGGGGCCAAAAAAGGGGCAAAAAACAAGCATTTTTCTAGTTTCATGACAATAACTTGTGTGTAAGTGTTTGGATATTTCTGAAATTGTACTACAAGGTTCCATATCACAAAGGGAAAGCTGGAATTGAGTTTGGGGGTAATTGCCCGAAACGTTTAGGAATTGGGGGCCAAAAAGGGGCCAAAAATAAGCATTTTTTTAGTTTCCAGACAATAACTTGTGTTCAAGTGTATGGATCTCTCTGAAATTGTACTGCAAGGTACCATACCACAAAGGGAAGGCTGGGATTGAGTTTGGGGGTGATGAATCATAAGGGGGTTCAAAAAATTTGGGGGGGGATTTTTTTTTTTTTTTTTTCTTTTTTTCCTTTTTTTTTTCTTTTAAAATTTTCCATTTTAAGTTGGTTATTTCTGATTTATATTTAAAAGCAAATAATAATGATATGGTAGGAGATACACACCAAACAGGATGTGTAAATTATTATATAATAAGTATTGTGCAATAGCAAGAAATTTTCAATTGCACAGTATTGCACAATAGCAAGAAATCTTCAATTGCACAGTATTGCGCAATAGCAAGAAATCTTCAATTTAACAGTATTGCGCAATAGCAAGAAATATCCAATAGCACAATATTGCACAATAGCAAGAAATTGTCAATTGTACAGTATTGCGCAATAGCAAGAAATATTCAATTGCACAGTATTGTGCAAAAGAAGATACTTCGTATAAATTGCTTATTTCTTGATCAATTTCAATGGGGTTTTATTCTTGAATTCTTGGGGTTCTTTAATATGCTGAATCTAACCGTGTATTAAGTTTTTGGATTTTGGGCCCCGTTTTTAAATTGGTCCACATTGAGGTCCAAAGGGTCCAAAATTAAACTTTGTTTGATTTCATCAAAAATTGAATTATTGGGGTTCTTTGATATGCCGAATCTAACCGTGTATTTAGATTTTTAATTTTGGGTCCCGTTTTTTAAATTTGTCTACATTAAGGTCCAAAGGGTCCAAAATTAAACTTAGTTTGATTTTAACAAAAATTGAATTCTTAGGGTTCTTTGATATGCTGAATCTAAACATGTGTTTAGATTTTTGATTATGGGCCCAGTTTTCAAGTTGGTCCAAGTTGGGGTCCAAAATTAAACTTTGTTTGATTTCAACAAAAATTGAATATATGGGGTTCTTTGATATGCTGAATCTAACCATGTATTTAGATTTTAGATTTTTGGCCCAGTTTTCAAGATGGTCCAAATTGGGGTCCAAAATTAAACTTTGTTTGATTTCAACAAAAATTGAATATATGGGGTTCTTTGATATGCTGAATCTTACCATGTATTTAGATTTTTTATTTGTGGGCCCGCTATCAGATTGGTTCATATTGAGGTCAAAAGGGTCCAAAATTAAACTTTGTTTGATTTCATCAAAAATTGAATTATTGGGGTTCTTTGATATGCCAAATCTAACTGTGTATTTAGATTTTTAAT